AAATTAAAACCCAAATAGAGCGATTAAACGTGATGTAAACCACACTTGACTGAGAATTAATGCGTATTTGAATTTAGCATTCAGCCTAAGGCCTGCTGCTACTTCTAGACCGCTTTTTTAATTCTACATTATAACATATACATTTTAAATAAATAAATAAAGATACTTAAAAAATCTATTTTACTTAAAATTGGTCAATATTTTCAACCAGGTTAACAGCAGGTTCTTAGTTTTATTTTATGATTATTTATGTGAACAACGTGAATATGGAAAGCTTAACAAGCTGGTCGACAGCGGTAATACTCGAAAATTCTATGAAAATATGCGGCGACTAACAGAGGGTTTCAGGATCGGAGCATACTCTTGTAGAAGCCCCAGAGGTGATCTATTGACTGATGCCCAGAGCATACAGAAATTTTGTGGGAAACACTTCTCCACCCTGCTGAATGACAGTAAAAGCATAACACCAGGAGATGGTGAACCCGATTCCCCAATCGATGACGATAGAGCGGAGAACATGAGGAAGTTCGAATAGCAATTACCCGAGCTATTCAAATATGGCGGCGAAAAACTGATAAGCATGTATCAGCTTCTTTGTAGAAGATGGTCGTAACAAAGCAGGCCCGACGATTAAAATTCAAATGTGCTCTGCCCAATCCACAAAAAGAGACCACTACAGTGGGATAAGCCTCCTCAACATCGCTTATAAGGTTCTATGTGCGTACTGTGTGGAAGACGGAAGTCCACAGTCAACAAACTGATTGGAGCTTATCAGTGTGGCTTTACACCTGGAAAACCTAAAATCCATCAAACTTTCACCACGCGCCAAATCTTGGAAAGGATCCGTGAAAGGAAGATCGACACACACCACCTCTTCGTCGATTTTAAAGCCGCTGCAAAATCTCTTTAAACCTCTAAAACGTTAAGGTCTAGTAGATTTTATTCCTTAGAATACTTCAGAAAAAAATTGTAACCTCTGCTGAACAGAAATTATAATACCTACCGCAGGAGTATTTCTAATAGCATAAAATGGCTACAGGCTATAAGACTTTCGGAAATTTCCAAGTTCACCCTCGAAGAACAGCAATTGGTCGCTGGCAAGCGCAAAAGTAACAAATCTATGGACCCGGACTGGATTAGAGCTGAAATGCTCAAAACAATCGCCGCGCAACGACGCGCAGTACTTTTAAACAGAACGGCTGACTCGAATTAAACTGGAAGTGGCTTTCAATGAAGCAGTCGGACTCTCCCCAGGCAGCATGGTTTTATACGCGGAAGGTCAACTCTAAGCGCTACCCGATGCGAAATTAGTAGTATAAGTCGCAAACGGCTTCACTAGCGGGAGATGAGCGGATATGATCGAATAGAATCGCCGATTCCAGAGCTATCTAAGTAACAGAAATCTGTTGTACCAGACTAGGGAGAGATCATGACAAATAGAAGTTTCGTCAGGAGTAGCACAAGGGTCCACTTTGAGCCCAAACCTGTAGAACATTAATTATGACGGAATATTAAAACTTGAAATGCCAGGCAACGTGGACGACATAGCAGCAATTATCACAGCTCGAAACACAGGAAGCCCGAAGAAAGCTGAATCAGATCATGATCGGACGCAAACCTGGCTTGACTGTCCTGCCCACTGCGGAAAAAACAGAGCCACTACTGCTGACGAACAAGCACATTCCTCTCTTACTAAGCATGCAAACGACTAAGGATATTCTAAGGACACAAAAAGCTGGGAATTTTCTAGGCATAAGACTGGACTCCTGATTTCTGTATAAATCTAGCACGAGATCTTTATATTGATTTTGATCGATATCGGTGGCTCAGATTAATGAGCACAATTTCTTTGGAAGAAAAAGATGTTTGCAAAATCTTCAATAAAGCTTGCTACTATACATATTTATCTAGATATTTTAATTTTCCTTACATATGTTGCTTTTGTTCCACTGTACATTCGACAAACAAAAAAAATCTCAAAAACCAATTAAAGGAAATTTTTTTATTTATTTTCTTATCAATATTATTTCGTACATGAAAGCTTTTTTATATGCAAATCAAACATTGAAGTTGCAAGTGAAAACGAAATTGTAATCGACAAGCGGCAGTGTTTTGGAAACTAATTTTAGATTTTATATAAGTACATGCGTATATAGGTAATATACCTATATACATACATATGTGCATAGGCCATATAATTTTAGAAACATCAAACTAATGCGAGCGAGATTTGTGATTCTGCAGTTTCCGACACGCACTGGCTCGGTTTAGCGGCGAAAAGTTCACGTGTAAACAAATTTCCGTACAAACATAGTTTTGCTCAGTGTTATCATATATAATAGTCTTATCAAATGTTAATCATAAGTTAACCTAAAGTTGTCTCTTAATAGAAAGAGGGAAGAGCGTAAGAGAGTGGATTGGAGCATATTTCTATGTTCGAGTTCATTAGCACATGCTCGGTATTTATACATATTTACAGAAATAAGTATATATGTATATAAATACGATCTGTGTAGAAATTCTAGAAAAAAGGAATGATTTTGAAACACCAGACAAGATTTATTTACTTTTCTAATGTGATTTGTAGTTCGATAAACCGTTGAGTACTTTCTCTAGAGCTGGTGAACTAGTTCGGTGATTATTTTAATTGCATTCGAAAATGATAAAATATTACAATAAAAAGTAGTTTCGGTTGGGTCTAAATAAATACTTAAGATTCGTTCAAAAGCACCTTACAAAAGATCAGATGAATCGGGTTTACAGCCAGCACGGGCCCATGGGTATACTATGGTCATTTGAGCTAATCAGGACATTAGGAAAATATGCAACCTTAAGTCTTAAGTAGCGATTCCCATTCACTGTAACGTGCCGGTCTTGATCATCATGGAAGAAGAACAGCACCAAACCGTAATTTTTTCGGGATGCAATGGTGACTCATTGATACCTCAAATCTCTTTATTAAAAAAAAATTGTGTAGCTCTTTTTGTAAACCCCGTTCTTAAAGTTGAGTCCACTGACTCTAAATTTAGTTAGTAAATTTTAATAATTTCGATTTGTTATTGGAACCATGGTCAAATGTCAAACTTTACAGAAGAGAAATGGCAAAAGAGCGGGAAAAAGTATGGCGTCCTTTGCTGTTCCTATCGGTCTACTTTGTAAAATTTTCAAAAACGTCTGTCTAGAGTTAGAGATTACCTTAGCGATAGAGAGATGTACTGCTGTGAGTAAAAATTAGAAAGACTTTTAAATTTAAATCTCGCGCGACAACCCATTCGTCGAAATATTTTGTTTTTACTATGTTGGTATGACTGTCGATGACATCTCTGCCGAATTCATAATTTTGGGAAAGTCTTTCAATGATAATTGCTTGTCGCGAGTAAGTATTTTTGATTGGTACAAATAATTCAAAGAGAGTGGAAAACGCGTTTACGACGAACCATGTCCAGACGACCAAATAAAGGAATTGGTGGTTGAGAATCGACGATTAACAGTTAGAGCTCTTACTGGCATCTTTGGAATTTCGGTAAGATCAGTGAATATAATTTTTAAAGATTATTTGGCCTAAGAAAAGTGAAGGCACAAAATTTTTTCGGCGTCACGTTAACGTCTGTGAAACAATGCTTTCCGACTACCAGAGTCTTGGAGCTATGTTTACGACCTGGAAACAGACTATCAATCGCCCGATTATCGTGACAAAGGTGAGCCGGGACCGAAAAGAACACGTTAAGCAGATCAAAAACCAAGGTAATGTTGACAGTTTTCTTCGATCATGGAGGTGCACGGCTGCAACTTCGGAATCGTTACGGAAATAATTGGAATTTTGAAAAATACTTTTAAGGAGATATTTTTGATCAGTTAAATCATCCAATTATGAAAAAATTTTCGATTTTTTCTTATTTTTAGACATGAATACCCAAAAAGCCTAATATCACGAGAATCAAATTTTTTGAAATATTCAAAACTGAATAATTTGAAACTCCTCACTGTAGGGTAAGGTATTCAAACAGACAAAATCACCAAAAAAAAAAAACAGTGTGTTGAAAGACTTAATGATATGCCTATAAACTCTATGATTGCATATAAATACATGTCAAACCCACTAAAACATAATTAGGTCTTCAAATAGCACGTGCGGAGTATGCTTATACATATGTACATAAGCACGGATATAAAATATTGGCATTACTTGAATGATCGAACAGCAAGTGGCTGTGCAGTGGGCGGCAACTTTTGGTGAGGGACAAATTTTGGCAAATTTAAATTCAAGTCCAATATCTACGAGTATTCGGTATATGCAAACAAACAGTTGAAGGTCCTCTAAACAACTGTGAGCAATTAAAAAAATTTATAGCAAAAACATGAATTTAATATAAAGTAGTATAAAAATAATGCATGCAGGAAATATTAAAAATTTTTTTATAGCCAACAGTGTATGACTTTTCCTTTTTTAATTAATCAAAATAAATATTTGACATACCAGCCAAGGAAAACAACAAACACAAAAAAATAGTAAAATAGATAAAGAAAATACGTAAGCGGTAAAAAGTCAGCAAATGCACAAATAAAAAAAAAGTATAATATTCAAATGCGAAACATAACGGTTGTGATTTTTTCAAACACTAAACTAGTTTGAGTCCAAGTTTGGCATTCGCTAGTCGCGCACCGGTCAGTAGTAGAAATTACAATATATATAATATCTATAAGCAAACCAAATGCAAGCAACTTTTCATATAACGGTAACCAGAACGAAAAGCGCTCTAAATGAAATTTCAACAAAATCTACAATCGCATTTAACACCCGAATGGCGTACACAATACATCGATTATGGCGTAAGTGTGCACACTCATTGAAACTAACCTAAAAAATTCGGCTGCTTTCACTTAATTCTACACCCCCCTTTACCCCTACTTATATACTTATGCAGTTCATGAAGCAAATGATACTCGAAGCGGTTGAGAATGCGCCAACCGCCAACAGCGCCGAGCTAACGGAACATTTTACACAGTTTCAGCAAAAATTCTTTGAAGTTTGCGATAAGGAGTTGGAGAAAATCAATTTGTTCTACGAAGCGAAATTGGCCGAGATCAATCACAAGTACACATTACTACGCGATGAGATGAAGTTGGCCGAAGAGACGGCCGGCACGGTGTTGTTGGCGCGTCCATCGATACGCATTAAAAATCATCAATATCGACAAACGATCGACTTGACTAGAATATTGACGCGACATGCGACACACGATTTCAAGGCGGCCTTTAGTGAGCTCTACTTGAACGCGATACTCTTGCGCAACTATCAGATTTTGAATTATACCGGCTTTCGTAAGATGCTCAAGAAGTACGATAAGGTAAAGTAGAAAAATTTTCATATTAAATGCCTGTTCTTTTTAAATCGCTCCTTGTAGCGCATTAGTGGCAGAGCCGGCTATCACTATTTAACCGGGACAGTGGATAAAGCGGTATTTTATACGAATCGTGAAACTAAAGTGCTTTTGAAAAAAATCGAGGACATTATGACATACAATCTGGAGCATGGTAATCGTCATAAAGCTATGGAGCGGCTTCGTGTGCCGCCGCTCGCTGACAAATCCCATCCATGGACCTCGTTTCGTACTGGTTTTTCTCTGGGTGCACTTATTATACTCGCAATCTTGGTTGTTTTATCGTGTGAGTATTATTGGCGTGCTGTGAGCATTCGCTACTGTTCGTTTCAGCTTTTTTGTTATACTATTGCAACATGTTGCTACAGAGTATAAGAGTTTTGTTCAGCGAACGGTTGTCGGGATCAGAAGAGTTGAAATTCGAATGACTGTCTGTCCGTCCGTATGTTTGTTCGAGCAAGCTATAAGTTGAGTAGAAATTAAGATATCTAAATGAATCTTGGTACTGGTGTTGCATGGCAAAAAGCGACGACGACTTCGTAGATGGGCGATGTTCACAAAACTCCATTAAACCACAATCTATAAAGTGCCATAACTAAGCACTAAATTAAGATATACTATCTGAACCACTTAAGGTACAATATCCAAATTTACTCAGCACCTTTCAATCGATGAAAACAGATGTTAACCTCGTCTTCACCATATAAATGTTCCCTTAAAAACCATTAAAAGCGAGGAAAACCAATAAATAAATACGCCAGAGGCATTAAATTTTGCATCTGGGATAGAGAACTTTATAGGAGGGGGTTAAAAATTAATGATAAAGGTAGCACATTTCGTTGAAAACCCACATCTTAGGACCTACTCGACTGATATACAACAAATATGGTATATAATATTACCTTTACATTCCTATGGTCCAAACGAAATCGGGGTCATCTTTGTTCCTAAAATGGATAAAATTGGGTGAAAACGTGCCCTAGACCCTAATATATATAGCTTACAAAGCTTGTGCACCCTAAAGAATATCCCTGGCTTTAATCGTGGCATGTTGCAAGTGTATGAAATGTTCGGTTGTACTCTAACTTAGTTCTTCCTTACTTGTGTCGACTAGATTTCATTTAAATTGAAGTGAATAGTTAGAAAAGTCTGCAAGAAGTAGTGTTAGTAGTAGAGCCTTCAGGTGTGCCAACTAAAAGCCATTGTTAAAAGAAAAATTTTAAATCGAAAGCCATACTTAACAGCATTTCTATCACATATCGATACAATAGATTCTTCTTTCACTGGCTTAGATCAGTTAATGGCCATTTAAAACCCTAAGCAAAGATAAAATTCGTTACCAGTTCCGTGCTATTAGTTCGAAAACATTACTTTGGCAGTAAACAATTTTCTAGGCAGTTAAATCTTTGCAGAAATCTTAATGATTATTATTAAATTTTAAAATTTTCCTGCCAGTCACAATGAAAGTCATCGACGTGGATGTGGTAACATGCGTGTTACTTTTTCGTGGTCCTTTTACGATGATTTTCTTTCTGGGACTACTCAGTTTGAATTTCTACGTTTGGCGCTATGTGGGTATCAATCATGTGTTGATATTCGAATTGAATCCTCGAAACTTTTTGGCTGCTGTACAAATTCTTGAGATCGCCGTTGTATTCGGTTGCATATTATCGCTGCTGACACTCGCTTTCCTACATTCCCAGTACCTTGGCATGCCACCGTATGTGTTTCCGCTGGCTATGCCAATAATAATGATTGTCTTTCTCATCAATCCAATACGCATATTTCATTATAAATCGCGCATGTGGCTACTTCGCTACTTGGTAAGTGCATTAAGATCCCATATACCTATTTAATAATAAATTTTAATCCAAATGTGTTTGCTTTTTTATCATGTCTAAGGGTCGCATTGCTTGTGCACCTTTCTTTCGAGTCGTCTTCGTGGACTTCTGGTTGGCAGATCAGTTCAATTCACTCGTAGCACTGTTCGTGGACTATAGTCACATTATATGCTACTACACGACGCCATTCGATTGGTATCATGCCAAAGAGCCGACTACTTGCCATATAAAACAACGCTACACGGCGTTGATACGAGTATTGCCTGCTTGGTTTCGTTTCGCACAATGTTTACGACGCTATCATGATGATCCTGAAAACGCTAAGAAGCATTTAATCAATGCCGGCAAATATTCAACTAGTTTTTTTGTGGTGTTTTTCGATTTCATGGCGAGAAACTATGAAGGTAAGAAAGCAGAATGTGATTTGTGAAGGATAGTGATTAAAGGGGGTGCGATATATTTGGTGGCGTTACGAACAGTAATTAAAAATCTCTTTTCCTTTTTTCTGTAAGCTTCTTACAACAGCCGACTGGATAATCCATTTATCTGGTTGTGGATATTAGCTGCAATCGTTGCATCAACATATGGTTTAGCGTGGGACTTTCTAAGAGATTGGGGTATCTTCAGTACGGATTGCGGCGAACATAAATATCTACGTGCGCAAATTCTCTACAAACCGGTTAGTATATTTTAAGTGAAATAAGAGGCTCTGGCAACTATTATTTGTCTTTAAATCTTAATATTTCTTAACGTACAAATTTTCAGAGTTTCTACTACTGCCTGATTGTGGAAAATCTTTTGCTGCGTTATCTGTGGGCATATGTATTCGTGTTGGACGCATCAAATGTGGTCAGCCAAAGAGTCATGGCACCTATAGCGGATATATTGGAAGCAATACGGTAAATGGTCATTACAATACATCTTATACCGTACTATATTTGTCAGTATTTTTCCCTTAGTCGTTTCCTGTGGAATTTCATTCGTTTGGAGAATGAGCATCTCAACAATTGTGGCCGGTTTCGTGCCGTCCGTGATATCTCAATTACAGTTATTGAACAGCCCTATCGTGGTTCTTTTGCGCCTATTACTGAACCCCCTGATAAATCTGTAAACAGTTGGAAAGGTCGTGTTAAACTGAAAATTCAAAGTGATTCTAAACAGGTTGTCAATGTTGTATAGTATTAAAAAGAATAGTTTAAAGTTTTGCTTAATTGTAATATAATTAATATATGAATTGAGTAAGCATAAAAAGTCATGATTATCAAAAACAATTGTATTATCTCTTTTGAACTTGTTCTTAAATAGGTCTTTAGACATTCAATGTTATTGTAAAATTATTTAAATTCAAAATTAACTCAAAGATATATAAATAAATAATTATAATATTTAATACATTTAGCAAATGAAAACATATTTTACATAATTATATCGATAAAGTCAAAATTAACAAGTAAGGAAGTGATAAGTTCGGCTGCAACTGAACATTTTATACTCTTGCAACTTGCAACGATCAATAATATTGACCAATATAATCAGTATGAAGTCACCTGGAAGTTCGAAAATCTTTATAATAGATATATTATATTTGGGCTCAGGGAAGTATTGACCCGATTCAACCCATTTTCGGTACACAGAAATACTATTGTCAGGTAAGATTCCAGTCTAAATTTTAATTCCATATCTTACACATTACGATATTTTCGGTCAAAAGTCAACTGTATATACTGGGGTCCACACTTTTGTTACCTAGGGGCTTGAACAGTTTTGGTTGCAATTTCGCGATTTTTGGTCATAACTTGTATCAAATTTGACCGTTGTTGTCAGTTAAAGAGTTCGAGTTGTAGAAGTTGAACCGTACTACCTTTATTTATTTTCTCCATTTGGTTTTTTCATTAAAATTTAGTTAAATTTAACTATGATTTAGTTTTGTTTTAATTATTGGTATAATGGATGGTGTGAGACAACTCTAACAATTCATAGGAAAGCCAGCCAGCCAGAAGACAATCTTATTTAAACACATGCGTTGACTTTTCATTAACTACGCATGTGGCCACGTACTCCTTACCACTCAAAATTTTCAAGTTACGGGAATATTTGACAACACTTTATACCGGAACTTTGTGCGGTATAGAATTTTTTTATTTAAAAATAATTTAATGACATGTAATTTACCAAAAATAATTAAAAACAAAACACATTCTGACAAAATCATATGAAAGTTAGCGAGCTTTACAAAATTAGATCTAAATATAAGAGACTGGCTTGCAATGAAAAAATTATGTTTTATAATTCTTTTAATTTAATTTCATTTACACTATAACTAAAATTGATGTTTTCTTTTATTTTTTTTTTTAAAATTGAACAAAATCACGAACGAACTAAAAAGTCTGAAGAAAAATTTAAGAATACTTGTATAGGGGTAAGTTTCGCGTGGCCACAACTGTAATTAGTTATTCCAGTTAATGCAACCATATTTAATGGTTTCAGCCCCTACTAGTTATAAACCATAATTAAGTTTAYAAAGCTTAAGCTCACCTTATCATAGCACCGCATCAATTAATGAAACCAGCGCCATCTACTGCAACTTTAGGAGCGATTTGTTTCAGTACAATTTTGTTACAACCGACCGATTTACCGATTAAATTTGATGTTAATTTTTATTAGCACTTTTAATTTACACACAAAACACTTGCACTTATTTAAACACGAACTCTCTGCTTTCTTTGGCTCTTCYTCTTTAATATGAGCCAATATTTCACGCACTCACTCATTCAACTAAAAGCACTGCCTACGCGGCCATTTTGAATGCACTTGTGGCTTCACTTTTCTGCAGCACATACACTTTGAATAACCTCGGCATATTTTACATTTAAAGCAAGCRCTTTTATTTATTACACTTTACACATGCCACACACAACACTTTTAACACTGAAACACTGAAATTTATTAAATTAGATTATTTTATCACAATGCAAATTAGATTTTCACTTTGACTGCTTTTTCACAACCGCACGCTTGAACTTCAACTCGAATACTGAAGGTTCGTGCATTCACTGGAATGGTACTTTTGGAAGTTTGGTTTTTGGAAATAGCACAGTGGCCTCCRCGCGGATGTGCTCTCTTTGTCGTTAACACTTTTCTCGATTTCCGTCTAAACCGGAAAATGAAAAAGCGAATGTTATCGAAAAATTACCAAAAAACATCTAAACTTTTTAACAAAATTTCAATGTAAATTATTGTAAAGTAGAATTTTGGTATTTAATGAAGATAATACGGAATCAGTAAAATTTAGGAAAATAATTATTCATATTAAAAATTTTCAACTATAAATACTAAAAAATGATTAATTTTAATACAAAATTCCATATCATTACCAATGATCTGAGTTGCAAATAATGCATTGAAAAAATAATTGACATAATATAAATACTATCTTTATACTCAGAACAAGGTAATTACCATGAGCTTGCCACAAAGTTTGTAACACCCTTAAAAAGAAAAACCTTATACAAATGAAGGTACTGTGAAATTCCCCATTACGGACTGTCCGGATAAATTTCATGAATACTACGTTTTCATTAATATTTTCAAATAAAATCCATTCCTATAGCCACACATGAAAACATTCAAAAACCAGACACGGACGCTATTTTAACAATATTTCGTTCCAATTATTTCTGATAAACGGACAAGATTTCATAAAATCTGTAAAGAAAAATGTGTACCAGTCATAGTTCCCGTCTTTTTAATTCTGCGACAGTCAAACAAATTGATTTAAGCTGCCATGGTGTGCTTCGCGGTGGCTTAACGGAAACTAATGGAATAATTGTCATTAATTCACTCCTGTCTGACATTGGCTCGTATTTATTTAAAATTAAGACGTAGGTTTCCGATTATGAAGAATTTCACTGTATATAAATAATCAGCGTGCGCTCAGTGTTCTGTATATAGGCATACTAGTCTCTGAGTTTTCGAGATATCGCTCTGAATTGGGCCACTCTAGTAACATATAGCTGTCAAACTATTTTATTTGACAAGATATCTTCATGAGTTAGGTTTTGAATTTACCATTCTGATTATACAATTAAATTAAAAAATAAAATTTTAAATTTTTGTACCGAAATATTTTAGATAAAAATTTAATTTCACAACAATTAGAATTAAAAATTAGAAAATCTAATAATTTTTAATTAAAATATTTGCAATACCGACTAGTAACCATCTGAAATAAAGCAGTTAT